TCTGTCCAGTGATCTATAGCCTGGCTGCTAGCCCTGGTCAGCCAAGCCCTAGGATGGCATACTGCTACGCCATTGTTCACTGCATTTGCAGCTCCTTGTCAGACATGGCGTAAGATATCTACAATAGAGAGTGGAATACTGAATCAATCAAATATGTAGTATTAGACCATCAGATTAAGATCCAGTTCAATGTGACAGATCATATCACAATTAAATCAATGAATTACATATTCATAACATTTCCATCTCATGTTTGATTAAAATACCCAGTGCTAGTAAGTAGAAATCTCTTATAGATGATAATTATAATAAAACGACCTTTAACTAGGACTAATTAAGTCCACCTTAATTGCATGCCAAAATTATTGGCAAGTCTGTCAGTTTGTTTGTCTGTCTTTCGGTAACATTTATGCAGTAATTACTATAATTTTTTCTTCCAGCTGGTATAGACCATAAACTTTGAAAATGAAAGAGCAGAGCTTTGAATACATGAAAAAAAATTTAAAAGATGCATAACTGAAAATAAATTGAATTTCCATTCATACAAGCTGTTGGCATTTCTTTTCAATGACAACACATGGGGGTTTCCATTTAAGATGACCTGTGATCCTTGACTTTTGATTTTCCTAAATATACAACATCAAGGTTAATGTTAGGCCAGTGGCTCATAAACAAATTATAGTTTTATATTAAAAAATATTCATTTACTCTGAGGACATGGTTATTAATAAAAAACAAAACTGGCCAAGGGCACATTAAGCTGTAACTTTGATCTGTCAATGGATCTCAAAAAACACCAATACTGCCACATGAATAGCACCAATCAATGACTCTGACTGAGAATAAGTGCAGCCATAAAATACTAAAATTTCCTGTCAATTACAGAAAGAGATGTTGGTCTAATCTGAGTCACACAACATTATGCAAACAGAGGTGATGTATTTTTTTCCATATTGATACCTGACATTTTGTAGGAGTAGCAAGTCTAATGGCCATGTAAATTACATGACTGTATGGGCAAAAACAACCATATTTTTTCAGTTGTATGTAATATGATATTTTTATGCCGACCTTAATGAATTATATTGATATAATAACATGTCCTTTAGTCTAGAGATGCTTCTGATTCACTCACGTGCAGATACGTCAAAAATAATCATATTACCACTGATTTTGCATAACAACTAATACATACTTCCATTATGCAGTAGTAGTTAAATGTACTTGGGAGTGGATTAAAACAAATATATGACACTGTTTCTCACAGTACATTTTAATTGCATTATGATAATGATCTCATCAATATATCAGACCTGTACTGATAGAAAGTAATACCCATTCATAATTTCCTTCATAATCACCTCACTCTGTTTACTGGGCTTCGTGATATACTAAAACATACATATAGATGCTGTGATGTTCAATAATCATCAAAGTGGCCACACCCCAGGGTGCTGTTCTCCAACCATTCCTTTTATTTTTGTTCTGTGTTGGCCATGTATAGCACTATAATTTAATAGGACCCACTGTATATATACATATATGTATATGCATATATATATGCACAGTTTTAAAATAACTGAACCCCTAGACGTGCATGTGCTGGATGTGCATTACAATATGATCCCAAGTATTCTTACACCAATTATCTGCCAGTAAAATGTCAGTGCTTAATAACATGCCTACCTTTTTTTTCATCACTGTCAGTATTGCATCACAGTGCAGATTTGACTATGTTTCGACAGTTTTGAAAAATATGCACGCTGCTACTCGGACTCCTTATCAATATCAGCTTGAACAGATCACCCCTGATTAGATTTTGAGTTGTTGAATCAATGAACTTGTCTTTCGGTCTTAGCAAAAAGACTCCCAGATATGCCGGCTATTGCAGGAAATGTATTGATCAGACCTCTGATGTGTGGGTCCTAGCCAGCCAATAACATGTGGCTTTACAATGATCAACAGCGATACCCAACTGGCTCTATATGCTATTGTAACAGCAGACTGGTCAATTTACTAAGAAGAAAAGACCCTTTAAATGTTTGCCTTCTTATCTATGTTCTAAATACATGCTGTAACATAATAGGCTACAATTTCAGAAAGGAATCATTTACCCTTTTATGGATAATAAGCCATAATATATATATCTTTCATGCTAAATACAACATGTTTAATTCAAATAAAATGAAAAACTTATAGTTAATAGAATAATCTGTCATGTTTTAAACCGTGCAGATGTGATACATTTATAAATAACATAATTATATACTTCCAAGTACACTTAATGATTTCCATACTAATTTACACTTTCAAGCAAAGCAAAAATGTTAATTGGAAATAAGCCATTTGCCTGGCTTACGTAAAAAAAAAGGCCTCAAATTCATAAGAAAAGAGAGAAGTTGACTCAAATGTATGTATGGTATTTCCAAGTTACAAGGTCAATGGAATGGTGGTTTCTGAGTAATTATATTCTTGACAACTATCTTGATGACATCAGAAAAATTCATTCGCCCTTTCCAAAATCTGTCATTTTGATATATTTACATATCACATATATAACATGTCAGTGCTGTTCATTCTAGATCTGCCAGTAACCAAAACCTAATATCATTCAAAACATCTCTTTGATTTACTCCCAGTGCTTCATATTCATGCAGTTATCATAGTCATTATAATGTTATTTGATACAAGCAACTTATAGTAATGGTTATTATCTCTTAATGCATAAATGAGCTTTTAGACACTATTACAAGAACTGACTGATTACTCTGTCAGCTAATAAATTTGTATGTATTTCATGACTTGTAATTAAGCTGTTTCTTTTCTTAAAATCCATATAAAGCAGCTGGATTTGACTTTGAAGCATTATAAACTAGTCTGTCAGGCCTGTAGCCAGTAATTTCAAAAGGGGGGTTCTTTTTCTGAAAAAGTGGACCTTTTCCCATAAAAACCTCATGTACCTAGATCAAATTTTACCCAGAGTGGACCTTTCCCCAGCAAAAGGGGTGGTGCTTTCGAACCCCCCGAACCCCCCCTGGCTACGGGCCTGTCTGTAATGTTAGCCATTAGTCTGAGCTGAGCACTGTATATTTCTTCTACATCCCATTTAGCTATACAATGGCGGCAGTACTTCAAATTCATAACTGTCCTAATTTCACAATGCCTGAATTTTGCCAATCTATACTGTACCAAAAGGATACAAGACTTCATCAGCAAGGAAAGTATAAGAATAGGACAGGACTTCAAACAAAAACAAAGCATAAGTGAGAATTCTGCTGCCATTGTTTTATTTTTCCAAGTTCCAGTTGTCCCAATAGGGCTGTGAGGCTTTAAAAAATGAGGGGATTCATGGTTTATTTTTGGGACACTTATTACCTTTTTTCATTAAAAAAATAATAATCCAAGTAATAAAACTTAAATTGAAGCTAAATACCATTAGGCACCAGAGTCCATAAGGACTTTTTGGTTTTGATAAATAAATTTGATCTTACTGGTACTTTTATACGGAATAAATGTTACACATAGATGAATGATAATTTTTTTAATTTGTTTAGCCATCTACTAGTAAGCAATAGCATATATACTGCATTCATCTAAAAGTCATAATATATATATTTGTAATAAAATATTTTTCTTCCATTCCAGAATTTCAGATGATACTGATATACTAGTAAGCATATGGTCAAGGCTTGTATTCTTTCTCCTATGTATTGAGTAACAGCTAGATCACTTTACACTTGGAATATACTTGTCTAGTGTATCAATCTGCTGGTGGCCTCAAAGACATATCCAGTACATGTAACAAAATATTTATTGGGTTGTAAACTTGCGAAGTAGCTGAGAGGGCATGGATCTATTACTCAGGAGACCAAACACATTTTCTCTATATAAAACCCTTACTGACTTCCAGCAAAAGCGTTTTTTAACTAGCTGCTATTTTTTGCAGTGAATAAATACTACAAAACAAAAAGCTGCAATTTCCCTGTAAGGTCAATTAACATAACTATTGTTATATTTTGTTATTCAATGACTATCTACAGTATGTAGACAGCTGCACAAAGTTGTACTGTTGTACCAGAGCTGCAAAAGTTTATATAAAATGGCACTGACCATATGTAAAGACCATAATTATCTGTAAGTGTGATACACATGAAGAGACTAAAAATTAAAAAAAAATAATAATAATAATAAAATGACATTGCACAGTTATGGTTATCAATAATTCAAAACCCCAAAATTTATTCAAAACTCTCAAGAAAAGAAAACAAGAGGAAACTTAAACAAAATGCACAAAAGCCATGCCGGTGACAGTGTTGCATATGTTGCTGTTTATAATAATAAAGCCATGGTGGTGGTGGTGGGGGGGGGGGGTTGTGAACAATTATTCAAGGTGTTTCTTAACTTCTTCTACAGCTAAATATAACAATTTAATATAAATTCAAAATGCCCTGTCATATTCATAGAAAACTTTAAAAAGACATAAAAATGCATAGAACAACAGAAAATGCCTCAGCAAATTAAGGCAAAACTGAGCAAGTCTACCAAATTGTCAGCATGCCATTGCGGGCGACTAATCATTGTGTTTTCAATTACTACGTGGGTCCTATTAGCTGCTGAAAAAAACAAAATAGTAGCTCACCTTAATATTTCATTCATTATTATCTCGTGAATATCCTCAAAGTTAATCGCATAGGTTAATAATCGGAAAAGGCACATAAATTGACATACATGTCAACTTGACAACGTGACGCCATTTTTGAAAATTTCCCGTAATGCATTGTTGTAAACAATTACATTTGAATTCAACTTTAGTTGATTACCCATAAATTATTTCAGTATGTTAAATTTGGCATTATATCCTTAAATCATACGTCATGAAAATTATTTAATTCTATTTTTTTTCATGATATTTGATTTTGTTGATTTCTCAAACCAAAACAGGTTCAAATAATTTGACTAAACTAAAACTGTAATAAAAACCTATTCTGCATCTATGCAAGGGCACCAAGGTCAGACACAGAGACGCAAACGGGAATCAATGAAATGGGGGATCCTGAAGTTGATCCCAAAAGATTAATATCTCTTTGGGCAAAACATTTTAAAGAAGGCACAGATTTTGATCTCTGGGGACAACCGCTAGAAGCAATTGAAGTATATAGGAAGTGAGTCTTTGTATGGTACATAAAAAACAACACCAAAGCCTAAGCAGTTTTCATATGTTTATCACTCAGCTGTCATCTTGATTAGTGTAGTTAATGGATCTTAAAGCTACATAAAACGACTTGGGTCTATCATAATGAAAAAAGAAATTAAACTTTAAGTTGGTTTAAGTATCCTATTTTTTCTAGTGCATTGTGCTGTTAAGTAAGTGTAATTACTTCTGTGCCTCTTATACCCAAAATGAGACAAAATACAAGCAGGGAGATGATTATTTTTTGGATTTTGGTACTATACAGCAAAGCAGCATTAAGATTATGAATAAGCCCTTGTTTGGGTGCCATCTGGATTGGTTGATCAATCTAAAGTCTACATAAAATAACCTTTCTGTTATCTAAGATTTGCAAGGCTTTACATTAATTCCTTTCCTGTTGAAATAATGAACACATCTGTTGTCATTTTTAGGCTTTCACATGAACTAAAAGCACAGGCTGACCCAGACAGTGAGGTCTTCTCTGATGAACAAAAGGTAATGTTAAGAGTTACCAGCAGTTTAGCACATTGTAAATGAATATATACCCAGCCATGTAGAACTCCTTTTTTCACCTGACTTTAATTGTTTTTAGGTACTTACATCTTTCACAAACTTATTCAGAGACAAAGTATGACATCTAAAATACTTAATAGGATGATTTAAGAAAAGAATTTCATTTTATTTTGTTTCTTTTTATTCCAGAAAGTAATTGGAAAAATTGCAGCATGTTTGGATGTGCGATGTGAGGCCTTACAGGTATGTCCTTTACTTGTACATATTTCAACTCAGATTTCACAGGTATGTACAATACTAGTACAAATTTCAACTCAGATAAAAGATCAAAGCCCAAACACTTTCAGGATGGATACCAAGAATATTTATTAAATTAATTGTTGTATCCAAGGTAATAAGGTAGTATTCAATATAGCCTTTATATGATTTGGTTTCCTTTAATGGATTTTGTAGCTGTTACATGTTGAGCAGAATTTTTGCATTTTATATGCAGACACTGGTCATCTGTCCTCATAAAGAAAGTAGATCAAAATCGGAGAGGAATTTCTTCAGCTATGTAATGTACTCAAAGTTAGAATACAACAGATTCCTACAAAGTCATTATTATTATTTGTTAAACTTTTGGCTGTTATAGGAAAAATAGATTTTTGTCATTTCAAGTTCCAAAACATTCAGGTTTTAAGCAAATCAATTTTAATTTTCAAATATAGGGATTCAGAAGTAAGAGGGTAGAATTTATTTATATTAGTTTTGAATTACAGATCAAGCCAAAGGAGATTCCTTAATTTCACATTTGTCTTTTCAGCATCTTGGCACAGTAGATGGGATATCTATAAAAGATCTAAAGAAAGTTGAACCATGTAAGCAGCTGTTTCCAGTATTCTGCTCAGTTTGTAGATAAAAAAGAGTTTACTTAAGAATGTCTTTAAAAAGCTGATATCACTCTTCATTGTGGTTATTTATAAAAACTATCTTAAATGTGAAAACTAGTGTTTTAGTGTACATATTTTTATGGCTGACTGACTGTCTGAAATATCTGCATGAGTGTATCATTGGTTATTTTTGGTATTTCTTAAAATTCACATTTAGTGTGTACGTTTTACATTTGAATGTTTCTGATTAAACTGTTTAAATGATATCAAGGCAATTGTGTGACATCCCAAGTGAATTAAACCTGGACAGTAGATTCACCAGTATACTGGCACATTCCAATTTAGTGGCATAGAAAAATATATTGTATAAGATTGTGTAAGCTTCAAAGAGCATGGCTTTATTATTATTGTTATCATCTTTACAATACATGTTTATTTCTTACAGGGTTAAAGAACCTTTTTGTGTCAAAAGCCAAGGAATTTCCAATAGACGTGAGAGCAGTTCAAGCACAAGTTGATGCTCAGTCACCAAGAAGGTAAAATGTTTCTGCTGATTTATATTTTGCAAAAATCTCTTTGGATGGTTTTATTTTGGAAGAAGACATTAGACAAGCAAAAATTTTCATAAGCTTGGGAGTTGGATCATATTTGATAATAATATAACAGAAGCTGGAATGTTTTCATACTGTAAGCTTACTACCTACATGTAGCAGTCATGGAGTAACATCATCTACTGTACTCAAATCACTCTGATGAAGGCCTATGTCCATAAGTTAACAATTTGAAAACATTCCTGCTTGCGTTATATAATGATGATATAAGACATTAGACATCAGCTGGAAAATTTAGGCATTTTAGTATGAAAATATGTATTGAAACTTGTCACAACACCTGTGTGTTTAGGTCTGAAACAGGCAGCACTCCCACAGAAGAGTATGAAGAAGAGGAAGAAGTGGTTGACTCTAAAAGTAAGAAATGTTTGTGAATGAAGCAAAATATACTGGTTCATTTAATCATCAGTCAGCAATGTTAGCTGATGGCCAGTTATGTGCACAGTGAACCAAATAGATACTGTGCATGTATGGTAAGTTACTTTATATAATGGGTAATTCATGTATAGCTATAAAGGCAGTTGAACTATATTAATTTTAAAAAAGCTACTACAAGTAGGGTAAAAACACTGAAAATAGATGATCAGGTATGTGTGGATTTATTTAATTATTATGTCTAGATTGAAACGGATTTAGGACACAAATGTGCATTAAATATGCAGCTGATCATAACAAGTTGTGTAACAGTGAACTGATATTTGTTATTCATATAATATCTATTGTAGCACGTGGCAATCTTCTCCCCAAGCCAAGACCCATGCAAGGCCAGACAGCAGTTACAATACGCATAGAGAAGATTGGTATAAAAGATGCCTCCCAATATATTGATTCCTATATCACTGTATCAGTAAAAGGTTGGTTAACTTTAAGGTTTATCTGTTTTCATCTTCATTTTCAAGAAAGTATGCACAAAGTTTCAGTATTTCTTATTATACTCTGTTGAAGCAAATGGAATAAATATTTGACATGGCGAGATACAGATCATAAGCATCAGGTTTTATTGAATAATAAGTAATAACAAAATGTTTTGAAGTATTAATTTTAGCTGAATGGCCATAAAATGTTGAAAATTGTAATTTGTCCACCATGAAAATTAAGATTTAGGTGGAAGAGATCTTATGGCATCACAAGAGACTCCAACTGCCAGATGGAAAGAAAACCAGTACATATACTTTGGAGTTGATGTTTATTTACAAAAACCTATTGAAATTCTATCTCCTGGTAAGTAACACATACCATAATGGTATTGTGTGGAAAAGACCAGATATGAGATTGGAAAGGAAAATGTACTCAGCATTCTATATACACAAGAGAAACATTTCAGTGTCTAACCTTTGATGGAATTTATTTCAGCTGATTTCCTTTCCCTCTCTTCTGAAATCATCATTACTGGTCAGGTTTTGTGTTGCTTTTGTTTGTTGCTATAAGCCCTGTGTTCTATTTTTTCCCAATTAGATCAAGCAGGTATTGAAAAAGCAAAAACTCAGGACACGGCTCCAGCCACTCGTAAAGAGGAAAATTACATTTACTTTGGGGTGGATGTTCATTTGCAAAAATCTCTTGAGCAGTTAGGCCAAGGTGAGAGGTGGCGGCCACATAAATACTAATAATGAATAGGTGTAGTGCTGTACACTAACATTTTTTCATTGAATGGTCTGTTTACAGATTTAATAAAAACTAATATTTAGGCATATTGTTTTGCGTTGAAATGCTTTTTGTGTAGTGTTTTATAGTAATATAAGTGGATATACAAAGAAGCCAACTTTATACTGGTTTTTAAACTTCATTGGGGTTTCATTTAAAGAGAATAAAACCACCTTAGCAAAAATCATACATATGTAATGGAAAGAATGGCTGAAAATTGTCATCAGGAACTCAAGAATCTTAGTGTCTTTAGGAGTCACACTTTTATCTCATTGTGGTGCTTCAGAGATACAATGAAATGATGAAGCCCATACCCCCATGTAGATGAAGTTATGTTCAGACTTTATCCAATTCTTCTTAACTGGCAGGAGTACCAATCCCTTCTTTCTAGATACAAGTGTTTTACCCAGTAATACTTTATCATTACTATGAAACTTAGGTAAATGTCTCTAAGAGGCCCCATCTAGCCACTCATCCATTCATCACAACTTTGGCTAGAATAATCATCTCATGAACAGTTGCAATGGTAATTGTTTTGGGGACAATCACTAGCGCCAACACGGTGTGTCATCTTCTGAGGAACCTGTGCAATACTTGCCATATATAGTCAATATACCATGTTGAGTACACAAGATAGCATCATCGCATAGAAAAAAGTCTGCTAATCCCCAAGAAGCCATACACAGAGGCATCAGCCACCACAGTCTATTTCATCATGTCAAGTCTCCCAATCGTTCTGGAGACTAAGAAAAGCCAGACACTGTGGCCAGTTATCAGGAAAAGTCTTGGAAACCATATTACTGACATCATGATTTTCAAAACCCAAATTGTTAAAATTTTATGAGATAGATTAGATCTGAGCATCATTATGCTGACTTGCGCATACTCCATTGTATCTTTGTTTTTTCAAAATTATTTTTGTGTGTGTGTGATATATATAGTACTTCTGCTTGCTGTGAGTGTCTCATTACATATATAATCTCACATTCTAAGTAGCAAGTTTGAATTTGTAAAGTGATATGCTGTTGTATCCTAACAATTGCATTGCACACATTTGTTTTTCGGTCTGTGTCTTCACTTGTTTATTTATTTTGTATATTGTCTGTATAATTGCGAGCTATGCTTTCTCATTCAGCATGTTCTCTGAAGTTGCTTTACATGGTTATTTTCTATTTCTAGCGTGATATATAAGCTAACAAACCAATTACAGTCAAAGGTTCTAATGTATTTTTAAATGTTTGACATCCAGACCAAAAACACAAGCTGAGCTTAGTCCTTTAAGTTTGTACAAGCAAACATATGTGAAGTATTTTATATGACATATGTAGCGTGTGGGAAGTGCTTTTTAGATTGATGCCATTGTGGCACACAGTTGTTTTGATATCTAGTTATGCTAAATTTGATGGTTTTAATACTGAAGTACTAAACTTGCTGTTCCTCTTTTTTTCTGTATACTAAAATTTGTGACCTTCTTCTGAATATATGCCTATAAAGAATGCTTTAAAACATTGCACCATGTGTTCATACCTTTTTTAGTACTCTTTTTAATATCATGTATGCTTGTTTTTCAGACTTTGCTGTGTTCTTTGAATTCAAACACTATAAGCCCAAGAAAAAGCAAGTGAGTACCAAGTGCTGGGCCTTTCTTGAGAAGGATGAAATCAAAGATGGAGCAGCAGTCATTGAACTGTAAGTTCTCTCTCTCTCTCTCTCTCTCTCTCTCTCTCTCTCTCTCTCTCTCTCTCTCTCTCGTGCTTATTCCAGGACTCTTTATGATAACAGGTTTATGTTATATAGAGATGACTTTTAATTGGTAATTTCCAACTCTGACTTTGAAGAACCAACACAATATTAATGAGTTTTCTATATTCTATTTCAGCTACAAGAAACCCACAGATTTCAAAAGAAAAAATATAAAACTGCTGACTGTCAAACCTTTATATCTACATTTAAAATTGTCCTTAAACTGAGCATAAGAAATGGAAAATAAGTGGCAATTTTTGATTGGGACAGTGTGTTGATTCCACAGCATGGAGCTGAACATAATCATTCACTCATTGTCTCCAACCAAACTCTCAGATCATGTATGAAACAAGGGTAAATATTACTGGAGAACATAGTCAAGTTGCAGTATAATATCTTTATGGTATTATAAATTCCAATAAAATACTTATTGTTGATATAAAACTACAGGTTATACATGATTGTTTAAGTGAAAAGAGTAAAATATCTCATATCGTGAAAACCAATATCTGTTGATCGTTGTTAGTCACCATTTTTGGTGTCACACTTTTGATTTTAAAAGAAAATGTTGCAATATTTGTAACATCTGTTGATTATTTTGTATGGTTTTTGTGGACCATTTATTAGTACATGTAGTTATGATACTACGCAGCTGATGTGTGTTTGCCATTTTAGGGTATTTAATCACATCTTACTTGTATTTTGCCTAGGTGACCCTAATTTTAAAATAACCATTGAGATAGCTTAATGCCTGAAAGTCCAAATACAAAAGTTGTTTGCTACGCAAAGATAATGATAATGGATAATTAATGGAGAAAATAAATAATAATAAATAAACAAATGAATAAATAAATAAACACCCTTTGGCTGGTGCATTAAATTGCCCTTCACTGTTGTGAGGAAAAAGTAGGCACCTCAAATCGCTAGTGTCTGCATTATTTTAAAAAATGACACCAAAGTTAAGTGTTGCCAAGAGCATTACTAAATTCAGTAAGTATAGATGGGTTCCATTTGCAGGTGGATATAACAAAACTAAGAAGTGGATAAGAACAATTAGTTTTTTTTTTCTTTGTTTAGTGGTCAAATGATGAAAACAAGTTATAAGTTGTGTGTTGTAGCTAATCATCAAGTAAAACTGCCTCATTTTTATTGAAGACTGAGTTCAGTATCATTTAGATTAAGTGCATATTAGGTAAATAATGTGTATTGCCATTGTTTATATATATAAATATTTTTCTACTATGGTCACATTTTTCTCAGTGCTGTGGAAAGGGACCAAGGCCTACTGTATTTGGAAATCATAATGTTGTATAATCAGTATATGTATTATTTCAACCATACAAGACCATTTCTATTTTAAGACAATCATTTAAAAACTGTTTCCATGTCCACCGTCCAAAGGCAACTTTTTTATTGTGTTCTTATAGAGCACAAACATTCTGAATGGTGTTTACAGTTATCAGTTTAAAGTGACTAGAATCTAAACATTTAGTGTACAATTTGTAATTGCTGTTATTTTGTTTTAAAACATTTAAATTTGACACAAAATGATTAAGGTGATGGTCATTTTAATGACCATTTAAAGATGGGAATTTTACCTTACTCTCTGAAATCAAAGTGCAAGTAAAATGTTTAAGTAATGTTTATTTTTGCTTCCTTATGGAAATGGATATAAAAGTTTTTTTATACCTTGTTTATGTCTTTCGTTCTAGAAATTCTTTACAACTAATAATACAAGACCCTGTCAGTTTTATTATACCATTATTGTAACATGAAGTTACAACATTATAATACAGAAACTCTGTCTAGATATAAACCATTTCTTATGTTTTGTAAAACACAACATGTCCACACCTGCAGTGATGAAAATAAATCAGCCTTTTTTACTTGGATTCTGTGGATAATTTCCAAAACAAAGTACTGAGTTTTTTTTTCATGTTAGCTTTAGATCCTTAAAAATAACCAGGTTCAAAATGTTGGTTGTAATCGAAACAGCCTCTGTTGTTCTGTCTGCATGCTATTTACCATATATTGCAAACATTTTACAATCTATCTCTTTTAATAAACGAAGACATGAAGTTTCAAGGGATCAGTTAATGATACATTTGAAGCGGGCTTGTATTCACAGTAACATACATATCCCACTGTTTCTTATAAGACTCGAACAAAGTTGACATGCCAAAGGATAAAACAAATTTATAACGTGATCAGTCATCAAAGAACTTTAAAACTGCACCATCTTTAAAATTTTGGTTGTATATTGACCTACACGTCTGCCCCGCTTATATATAGCACAGAAGTTAAGCACAAAATATACCTTTAAATATAATTTTTTCGGGTGATATGATCTGATATCATATGATATTCCTCTTAGTTATACTATTTGAAACAATATGTAGACCTCTTTTTGCTTTTGTGGCAAAAATTGACTTCAAATGCATCTTTAATACCAAGGACATTTTCTGTTATAACCTGACCAGGTTGATAACTATAACAATTAACAGCAAATATTCCTGTCCCCTTCAATGCAAGTTTATGTATTCTAAAAAATGACCTTGCAAGGTCAGCAAACACAGGAAGAAGTAAGTTCAGCAGTCCAGACGTCCAAGCAGACAATGTATGTATGGTAAGTCCATTCCGTTCAAGGGGTGNCGTGCTTATTCCAGGACTCTTTATGATAACAGGTTTATGTTATATAGAGATGACTTTTAATTGGTAATTTCCAACTCTGACTTTGAAGAACCAACACAATATTAATGAGTTTTCTATATTCTATTTCAGCTACAAGAAACCCACAGATTTCAAAAGAAAAAATATAAAACTGCTGACTGTCAAACCTTTATATCTACATTTAAAATTGTCCTTAAACTGAGCATAAGAAATGAAAAATAAGTGGCAATTTTTGAGTGGGACAGTGTGTTGATTCCACAGCATGGAGCTGAACATAATCATTCACTCATTGTCTCCAACCAAACTCTCAGATCATGTATGAAACAAGGGTAAATATTACTGGAGAACATAGTCAGGTTGCAGTATAATATCTTTATGGTATTATAAATTCCAATAAAATACTTATTGTTGATATAAAACTACAGGTTATACATGATTGTTTAAGTGAAAAGAGTAAAATATCTCATATCGTGAAAACCAGTATCTGTTGATCGTTGTTAGTCACCATTTTTGGTGTCACACTTTTGATTTTAAAAGAAAATGTTGCTATATTTGTAACATCTGTTGATTATTTTGTATGGTTTTTGTGGACCTTTTATTATACATGTAGTTATGATACTACGCAGCTGATGTGTGTTTGCCATTTTAGGGTATTTAATCACATCTTACTTGTATTTTGCCTAGGTGACCCTAATTTTAAAATAACCATTGAGATAGCTTAATGCCTGAAAGTCCAAATACAAAAGTTGTTTGCTACGCAAAGATAATGATAATGGATAATTAATGGAGAAAATAAATAATAATAAATAAACAAATGAATAAATAAATAAACACCCTTTGGCTGGTGCATTAAATTGCCCTTCACTGTTGTGAGGAAAAAGTAGGCACCTCAAATCGCTAGTGTCTGCATTATTTTAAAAAATGACACCAAAGTTAAGTGTTGCCATGAGCATTACTAAATTCAGTAAGTATAGATGGGTTCCGTTTGCAGGTGGATATAACAAAGCTTAGAAGTGGATAAGAACAGTTAGTTTTCTTTTTCCTTGTTTAGTGATCAAATGATTAAAATGAGTTATAAGTTGTGTGTTATAGCTAATAATCTAGTAAAACTGCCTCATTTTTATTGAAGACTGAGTTCAGTATCATTTAGATTAAGTGCATATTAGGTAAATAATGTGTATTGCCATTGTTTATATATATAAATATTTTTCTAATATGGTCACATTTTTCTCAGTGCTGTGGAAAGGGACCAAGGCCTACTGTATTTGGAAATCATAATTTTGTATAATCAGTATATGTATTATTTCAACCATACAAGGCCATTTCTATTTTAAGACAATCATTTAAAAACTGTTTCCATGTCCACCGTCCAAAGGCAACTTTTTCATTGTGTTCTTATAGAGCACAAACATTCTGAATGGTGTTTACAGTTATCAGTTTAGAGTGACTAGAATCTAAATGTTTAGTGTACAATTTGTAATTGCTGTTATTTTGTTTTAAAACATTTAAATTTGACACAAAATGATTAATGTGATGGTCATTTTAATGACCATTTAAAGATGGGAATTTTACCTTACTCTCTGAAATCAAAGTGCAAGTAAAATGTTTAAGTAACGTTTATTTTTGCTTCCTTTTGGAAATGGATATAAAAGTTTTTTTATACCTTGTTTATGTCTTTCGTTCTAGAAATTCTTTTCAACTAATAATACAAGACCCTGTCAGTTTTATCATACCCCGGTACATGAAGTTACAACATTATACATGTAATACAGAAACTCTGTCTAGATATAAACATAAATCAGCCTTTTTTACTTGGATTCTGTGGATAATTTCCAAAACAAAGTACTGAGTTTTTTTCATAAATGTGAGCTTTAGATCCTTAAAAGTAACCAGGTTCAAAATGTTGGTTGCAATCGAAACGCGAAACGAACAGCCTCTGTTGTTCTGTTTGCATGCTATTTACCATATCTTGCAAACATTTTACAATCTATCTCTTTTAATAAACGAAGACGTGAAGTTTCAAGGGATCAGTTAATGATACATTCAAAGTGAGCTTGTATTCACAGTAACATACATATCCCACTGTTTCTTATAAGACTCGAACAAAGTCGACATGCCAAAGGATAAAACAAATTTATAATGTGATCAGTCATCAAAGAACTTTAAAGTTGCACCATCCTTAAAATTTTGGTTGTATATTGACCTACCTGTCTGCCCTGCTTATATATATCACAGAAGTTAAGCACAAAATATACCTTTAAACATTTTTCGGGTGATATGAACTGATATCATATTATATTCCTCTTAGTTATACTATTTGAAACAATATGTAGACCTCTTTTTGCTTTTGTGGCAAAAATTGACTTCAAATGCATCTTTAATACCAAGGACATTTTCTGTTATAACCTGACCAGGTTGATAACTATAACAATTAACAGCAAATATTCCTGTCCCCTTCAATGCAAGTTTATATATTCTAATAAATGACCTTGCAAGGTCAGCAAACACAGGAAGAGGTAAGTTCAGCAGTCCAGACATGTCCAAGCAGACAATGTATGTATGGTAAGTCCATTCCATTCAAGGGGTGTCAGGTGGGGCGAGTCCATTCCATCAGAGGGGTGTCAGGTGGGGCCAGTTAATTTCATCTGAGGGGGGTCAGGTTGAAAGGGTCCATTCAATTGACGGGAGTCAGATGGGGTGAGCCCATTACATTCTGTCGTGGAGGGTCAGGTATATTTTCAAAAAGCAGGATTGTAAATAAATACAAAATTTATCTTTAAATGTGGGGTCTTGGTTTATTTTCTATCAGTGTGCCTTAAAAGTTCAAATTCCATTATTAACAAAATACTTGGCATATTTGTAATTATGTTATAATGATTACAATTTTTGATATTTTTAAATACTATAGAAAACCACCATTCACAAAAACATCCAGACATTATTTAGAGATCAGATTTAGCAGCTCAAATGTTCTCAAACACGAAATTATATCACTCATTTCCCTTTATCATTACTTCTATTTTTATTATCATAATTTCATAACAGAATAAAAAAAAAACTCCAAATTACGAAAGTATTTATTCAGTTTTCATATAATAGATCCACGGATGGGCATGAGGTTCCTGGGTGTGAAACAAAGGCTAGGCACTGTTGCTTGCTATGGTGCATGTTGTACACAATCTCATTGAGTTTCTGAAAAGAGAAGAAATGTTTACAACTTTTAAATAAACGGACAGGCTTTTAACACACGAATAATGCATGTGATATCACAGAGGAGAGGGTACTTATAATTGAAGAAGTGTGCATGTTTATTGCCTTTTCTGATGTTCACGCTCAGCTAACGCAAAAAAAAAAAAAAAACTAAGATTGCCTTGCGCAACAATCATGATCTGGAATTAGTAAATGATATTATTATTTGAGACCTCTTGCTAAAAAAGAAACATTGATTACACACCCCGTTTTATTTGCCGGAGGGGGGTATGACTGTTAATATATTCCTCTCGATATCTTATGTTACATGTACAACACTTATTGTAGTACATGTGGACGCATTTCAGAGTTTCAAAATGTTCAAACAGAAGAAAAAAGATTGCAGAGCTAAATGTTTTTAAGCAAACCTAAGTCATCATCAAAAGACAGGTGAGAGCGCCGTTTAGCCCGTAGGCCTACATTTGTCCCAATGAATATTGTATCCAATGAATTCTACCTTTCTGAATGACTTACAAGTTACAACTGTAATGGTGGTAAAAGACTTACGTTATAAATATTTGTCATAAATATTATTTCATTCGTCTGCGCCTTAAGAATAATATGGCGTTGGTTATTGAAAAAATAGTCATACTCACAAACATGCATTTGCTTCTACGCCTTGTACAAGCTAAAACTAGTGACTGCACCAAACATACTGTTGCGTCTACACCCGACTCTGTCCACCTGCCAAGTGAGCATTCAGGAAGACAGCTCACCCTACGATGACCAACTTATTGTTATGCAAATAAGATCATTTATGTGAGAGCTTGTTACTGTACCTGTTCACAAATGTTCAATAAATCCGGCGGTGATGCCTGTCATTACGCTCAAAGTTGTGCGTATATAATCAATGTCACATACGATACTTTTACGTTGACATTAATAATGTACTGTCGGTAAATACCCAAGGTAATAGACATGTGATGAAAAGCTTATTTAAACTACATGTATATTAAACTGAATAAACCACCATTTTGTAGTGTCCATTTGACATTAATACTGAAGCGAACATTATCAAAATTATAAAAAAGGATGTTTTATATCAATCTTGTAATTGTTTGGTGTTTACGATGAACAAGTGGATTGTTTTATCTTCATTTAAAGGCATGCATTCCGATATGCTTGCTCGCAATGTCAGCTAACTAAGGGTTGAATCATTCCAGCTGTGGAGTTCCGTGTAACAGTACTTTAAGGTATTCTAATGCCTTCCACATGAAGGTCATATATTAATGTATTATATATTTATGATATGTTTATTTGAAGTGTAAAATCCAAAAATAATGTTGGGACTTTACAAAATTATAAAAATTAGATACGTAAATTAAAATAAAACAAAATAAATGTCTTACCAAAAAGACAAAATATACTGGTAATCTACGGGGTCATATGGCCCTATTTTTACATATCTTGAAATGTTTTTTTAAATGTTATTGTGTAACGTTTGCAACAAACTTCAGATTCAGATCTATCCACTACGATATCTTCATAACATGCAAATATTTTTTACGATGGCTAATTGAAAACCGTGAGTGAGTGCAATTTTATTTATTATTATTATTTTTTTTATATATATAAACATCATTAACACAGCTAGTTTTCACTAGAATATATATCTTAAAAGTTTTACATTTCTAGAAAATTCAATTTGTCTGGAATTTCAAATTTTCACCTTTTTGCCTCTCTTTATGCGATAATTAAACAATATTTTTACCTTTCTTTCGTTATAAATCGATATCTCGTTGTTCGCAGCGAAATTATGTAAAAGCTACATTATCTGTATTTCAAGATTCATTCTTCCCCGTAACATAGCAATACAAACACATGACCTCACACCCTTTATGCGATCATGACGTCGATTTCGTCAGAACGTCACAACGCTGTACATGTGTCAACAAAGAATATAGAAACAAGCAACATAACAACGCAATCGCAATCGAGACGCAGACGAGCAGCTTTTATGTGAATGCTGTTTTAATGTACATTATTTATTTTCAAATTCTCCATTATTCATTATTCTTCATAGCATAGCAAAACATATTTCATGACATCACACCCTTTATGCGATCATGACGTTGATTTCGTCATAAGGTCACAACGTTACATGCGCCAACAAACCATGGAACGACAAAACGGCTGTAAGTAGGCCTACATGTTTATTTTGACTTCGCAAATCGATTGTTTTAAGTTCAAAATTTTGGTCGCCTCAAGACGCGAATAAAAAGCTTCTGTGCAAATGCTATCAAATATATTTTCAAAAACAAATTCTACAAGTTTCATCCTTCCTCGTAGCAAAGCAAAAGAAACACGTCTTTACACCCTTTATGAAGTCATGGCGTTTATTTCGTCATAACATCGCCACACTGTGTACGTCAACAAAGAATATACAAACAAACAACATAACAACAAACATGTAAGGCTTGACGTCGCAAATCAATAGTTAAAATGTTGGTCGCAATCAAGACGCAGACGAACAGCTTCTGTGCGAATGCTATTAAAATCTGCATTATTTAGTTCAAATTCTCCTAGATCCATTTTTCCTCGTAACATAGCAATACAAACATATGACCTCACACCCTTTATGCGTTCATGACGTCGCCACGCTATGCGCAAAAACATGACCTCCCACCCTTTATGCCATTATGACGTTGATTCGTCGGAACGTTACAACGCTAAGTGCGTCAACAAACCATACATACAAGCAACATAGCAACTAAAATGTTTTTGCTTGACAACGCAAACTGATTGTTATTAATTCAGAATGTTGGTCGCAATCGTTTTTTACATAACTTCATGCTGAAAGGGTATTCTATCTTTTTATCTTCTTCAACTTTTTTCTTCGGATCTTTATGATGTTCTTTATAATGTTCTTTCTGATGTATTATAATGTATTACCTGTTGCAATCGGCTTGCTATTACTTAAGATTCTTTAATTTATCTGAAATTTATATTTGAAAATCATTTTATAAATAATCCCAGTTTATTTTAAACACAGATTTTAGCAGTTCGTTCAGGTCTGAATACCGCGTACTGGTCATCGACGTCTCCTTTTGTATTTTTAGACACTTCACTTTCACTGACATCCAACTGTTGTCTTGCCAAGCCCCCAAGTGTTTCGGCATAACAAGGACTCACTTTCCCACAATTTTCCTCACGGAGAAGATGAAAAAGGGCTATACAAACAAGCAACATAACGGACTTCACACACCGATAAATAAAAGCTCCAGAATATTGACCACAAGCGCCGTCGTTAACTTTGGACAATTTCTGTCTGGACAATATATTTTTCAACATATTTTGCAAAAGTTTTACATTGTAGATCTAGGCCTACATGTATTACTTTATATCACTAATTTTGACGGGCAAAGATATTGTGCCCGTTCAAAATATTTTTGTCAACCATTATATTTCCTTACTATTCGAATATAACCTGCACTGGCGTTTTCAAAACAGAGAACCAGCGCAATTTCCTGCTTTCATTTTTTTTTTTATAAATATGAACTTGGTGAACAGCGTAGCTTAATTTTGCCTCCGAAGTCGAGCCTATTGAAATGTTATTCAGTTCTCGAAAATTTTGTCTAACTTTGTCTAAATTGACAGTTTTTAACTCTTTTCATGTAACGATTTAATTATCTTTCTTACCGTTCGGCTCTTATGATAAGTACAGTTTGTGTTGTTCGCAGCGCTCATTGTTTAAAAGTTACATTATCTGTTATTCGAATTCTCCGAAATTCACTCTTCTTCGTAACATAGCAAAAACAAACACATGACCTCACACCCTTTATGCGATCATTACGTCAATTACGCCAGAACGTCACAACGCCACATGGGTTCTCTACTTCTATGAAACCATGCAGCTTGACGTCACAAACCGATAGTTAGCCTATCAGGACAGGGTCCAAATCGAGGCCGCAATCAAAACGTGAGATTCTTCTTAATGTCCCTATTTCACACAGACCACGAATCCCACGAATCGCCAGGAATTGACAAATTTCAGGATTCGTGGTTGAATCGTAATCAGTTCGTGAAGTTCTTAACAGATTCGTATATAATCGTAGTCAGTTCTTGCAATTCTTGATCAATCGGGAATTCGTGGCAAAAATTTTGACCTGTTCTATGTTATTTCAGTATTTAATTTCCATGTACAGTACTAGTAGTCTGCGTGTATTTTGGCGTATCTACACGTTTCATCTTAACTGTATTCCTTTTTATATCAATATAGGCTTATTCATATTTAAACTCCGATGACTAGGCCTAGTCATAACGATCATATTGGTAAGACTCCGACTTCTCCAGGTGTCCCTATGATGAGACGAAAGTCTTCAGCGAGGTGTGACACTCAGTGTAATCTTGATCATTGCCATCCCCTCCCCCTCATTGCGTTGACGTCTTGACCAATTTTCAGTGGTACAAGAAATGGTCTCTCCTCCCTACTCAAACACTTCTCAGGTAAGTCGGTCAGACGTCAAGGGTGAAAAGAACGCCCATAAGTAGGCTAAAGTCAGGCGGCTCGCAAGACCTGACCTGCACAGAGGCTGGGCTCTGAAGAGTCAAGTAGCTGTTGACCACAGTATTACGCCGTCCGGGTTTTAGGTGAGATAAACAAATAAATAGGTATTGGTCAGTAATATATTTTGTGTGTTTTTTTACTTTAAAATGTGGACAGAAGGGGTAATCAAGTAGCCAGCGAGAGTGTACAGTTATGCGTGTATTGACTGTAATGCCGACCTTGTGCAGCCAGCATATATCATGTTGAATGCAATCGATCACCGCTGATGTCTTATATCTGCAAAAGGTTTTATAAGTTGAAAATGATGCCCAAGTGTAGAAAGGTAATTTATCAGAATTTTATAAGTACTTCACAGGGTTGGGTGGCACAAATGTCGGCTGAGTGGTCTTCTTTTTTAGCATTCCGTAGTTAGTTTGTCATTACGTTTTCTTTTTCACTTAACTTCGTATGTTGAAGGAAATGTCTCCAGCTGCGTTTTTTACATCTTCATTACTCTCATTACGCTGGTCTCATCACTGTGTTACTGATTTCTGAAATTAGCCAGTTATATCATATAAATGAATGTTGCTCTACTTTAAGGCCTTGTATCATAACTGCATACTTTATTTTTACTTAAGAATAATCCTGATAACAGACACCGAGAGAGTGGTGGACATGCAAAAAACGCAACTTTAATTAGACAGTCGGATTCCCCTGGTCCGTAAAAAATGTCTGACTGCACAAGGAAGTGTAATACAAAAACATAACGTTTGATTACATGTCTTATGCCAAAAGGTTCAGGAGAATGCAGATTCTGGCTGCTCAGAAATGACCATCAAATTTATTTATCTTTAAAAGTAAAATATCTTTTAATTGGAAAAGCTTCCTATTATTGCAGTCCTATATACAAACACTAACCTTAATTCCGGTCGCTTTCAAGGTTTTATTCCATTCTGGTGGAAATGTACCAAATCAAAACACCCGAATAGAAATTCATTAATCGTTTCAAATACAAAGATAAAAACGTACCAGTTTTGAACGCGCTTTGTTAGAATGGTTCCCCGATTTCCGAACCCTCCACCTCCCTCCTCCCCGGGTAATTACTCCGAAATGCGTGATAAATCATTTTGCTTCACTAAAAAGGCTGGTGCATTGTCAAGTCAGACGCTCATACTACCCTAATTGCGCGCTTGCTTCTGAAAGTTAGCAATAAAGTGTTTTTTTGCTAAAAGCTGGTTGGAACGCAACTTCGGACTTCTAAGCTTATGATTTTGCATAGGTACTAGTGTCAGGATCCAACGTTTACAATTATAATTGAACTTTTAAACATTAACATTTCCAAAATCGCATTTTGAAATTTTCTCTTTTCCTCCAGGTGGAAACCTCAAGTGCTATGTCGGTAACAACGGCCATTTTAGTGGCATCATTTGCAGTCTTAGTCATTGTGACCAATGCAGGTAAATGTTGCTTTTGAAAGCCCAAATTTTATGTGCGCTCTCTCTCTCTCTCTCTCTCTCTCACGCACACGCAAACAGACACACAGATACACACACAAGTTGCACATTATCGCAGTATTTGAATAATTTCAAGTCATTCTCGTTTATAAACCTTTGTACATGTCTTTTACGATATCCCTCGTCTTTTAATTTTACAGAAGTAAAATACTTCGGCTCTCCATTGGTCATAACGAGGAGGTTGCGAAATAACGTTGGCGCCAACAAGCAGTGGTTGGATCCACTCAATGTCGTCCGACCAGGCGTTCTTCAGAGTTTCAGCGTGGTAACGGCAGATAGTACATATCTGAATGGGACCGGGAGCATTAAAGTAGCATTACAACTCCACAAGGCGGAATCTGACATCTTAGAAAATGCCCCATATGAAACAGTGTTGATCTACAGCCGTATTGTGGACGTGCCGGCTCAGCGAGCAAAGACATTCAAGGTACACTTTGACACCGTGAGCAGAAACATATCCATTTTAAAGTTTTGTCCACGCTTAAATTGTCTGTTTCCTATTAAATGAAAGTTTACTATTTTATTGCATACATAGCCTCTGGCCTTGTGTATCTTTAAAGTCGATTATACATTCTTTTGTATTTCCCACATTTTCTTTTAATATAAAATGAGAAATTTGTCGTTATCTTATGTATTATTAATTTGTTTATCATAAATCGCTTAGTAGTAAAGTGACGTTACAAAATTGTAACAAGGAAATATTTATCGTGAAGATGGAAAAAAGTAAAGGTGATAACCTTGTAATTATGCAAATTGTGTAGATACATACAAAGTCGATTATACATTCTTTTGTATTTCCCACATTTTCTTTTAATATAAAATGAGAAATTTGTCGTTATCTTATGTATTATTAATTTGTTTATCATAAATCGCTTAGTAGTAAAGTGACGTTACAAAATTGTTACAAGGAAATATTTATCGTGAAGATGGAAAAAAGTAAAGGTGATAACCTTGTAATTATGCAAATTGTGTAGATACATACAATGAATATTTATTTCTCTGGTAATTTTTAGTTTGACTTCCCAGCTTTCCAAGTAACAGAATCGATATATCTTGGATTTGCTGTTTCTGGAGACATCATCCCTTTTGCACTTACGTTAAGCGGGACAGCTGCTTTCAAAACGTGGTATGGTTCTGGTTTTCCTACTGTTGGCAGCTTATGTAAATTCCGCCAACAAACACCCAATGTATTTGCATTCGGTGTTCGTGTAGGTAAGTAAGCAAATATACCAATTACCGTTTTACATCTACTGTCACTGAAACCCTTGTCTGCTAGAGTGTAAAGACGTGCTCATTTCATAATTAAGTCGAGGAGTTCCACTATCGTGTTATTTTGTCCGTGGTCTATGTATGTTTTGACTCAAGTGTAAGATTGTTCATTCAGTAATTTATAATCAGATTTTGTAATTTTGTACATTCAGATACAAGTGTAACTGTACCAACAGTGCAGACCACTACAACTGTTCAGACTACCGCAGCTACTACAAATTTTGGTGAGTTATTTTAATTTTGGTTTTTGGCAAGATAGTCGATCCTGGCTGCTTAAATTAACAGATAATGTGGATGCTTATATGCATATATAATGATATCTTATCTTTGTTCTATTTCATATATATATATATATATATATATATATATATATATATATATATATATATATTTTTTTTTTTTTTTTTTTTTTTGGGGG